ATCGTTTCTTCGTAGTTTTTGCCTATTTACATACTTATAAGTGTTTAAAAATTCAATTCACTTTTGCTCGCTTAAGGTGACAGATAGATGAATGTGTAATGATGAGACTTAGGCAAAGTTAAAATTGCAGCTAACTCTGGAAGAGAGAAGTATTAGTAAAGGGAATTCTTTGGCCTATTTAACCTATTATGGCATATTTAACTATCACTCATTACGTCCTTTTAATCAACTTGGACTGACTAAAGTTATTATTCAAGCTTCGTTAGACTCAAAGCCTTTTGAGTAACAACATTCTCACATATTCTACACTCCTTTCATGATGTAAATTTTTTCTGGATCAAATTGCTTGGTTTTTTAAAAATGTTATATCTGTCTATTTTCATCATTCGTTTCCTTATGTCTAGTCGAGGGCGGCACCCATTCACTAGCTTCAGCGGGCACTGTAAACGCAGCCTCTGGTACCACAGTTGGTCTTCTTTCATCAGACTCCATTACGCAGCGCTCTAGTTCGATTGCTGATAATGGGCTTGTAGTTGGCCTTAACGCTACATCCTCAGCTTCTTCCTCTCCTCCTTCGGCTGCATCTTTATCTTCTTCATCGTCGTCCTCATCTTCCTCTTCTTCTTCTCCAACAAAGTCGCTGATGCCGGTATCTGGGCTAGCGGGTGCCGTTAATCCTGAGCAGGCGCGCCGCAGTATTGACACCTATTTTCGTCTAATACAAGTTGTCATCTTTACGCGCTCCCAGAGCACCCGCGACTGTGAGTTACCCATATTTATTTCTTACTGCCTTAAAGCTCGACTTATGCATGAAATATGCTCATTTATTATCATTCTCAGGCTGTTTCCCTCATTTAGTTGATTTATTGCAGTGGCCTTCCATTTATTGCCTTCCTTCGCAGTATTTACCATATATTCTGTCGAAATTAATTACTATCAAGCTAATTATTTTGTTCCTTTTAGTCAGATTTTTTATTTCACTTACCTTTTGCAGCTCCTGATTTTCCAAATTATTTGGAAGAGGTACTCGTCAACAACGCCAAAGATCTTATTACAAGCGGAAAGCAACTTTTTGATAGAATTAATGTAAGTACTTATATTTTCTTTCCTTTTTAAAGGTAGCTTTTACACCGGCCTTATGGTTTAGACCTACTAGAAAGTATGCAACAACTAATACTTATTTTTTTACTAGATATGAATGAGTTTGAATTTTAAAAAAATTTGCGATTGCCCATCCCTTGTAATTTTGATGGCTAAAGTGTAAAGGTTATGCTATAATATATTTGCTCGGAAAATCCCCATCTGGTTTGGATTGGCGACTTGTATTAACTGTTCTTAATTTCGTTATTCTCAATGATTTTTCGAAAGACACAATTTCTGTTCGAGGCATATCATATTCTCCATAGTTGGATCTTGTATTTTTATAGCATTTTTTCCATTTCCCACTGATTTGGTATCTGTAGTTCTCAGTGCCAGAAATAACTAATTATTGGGTGCCTCAAAAGTTCTCTTTAGAAATATCTAAAATCAGTTCACAAAAGGTTCTTCACGCAGGAGATTTATTTAAGCATGTCTTTTCCATTTAGGCAGAATTACCTCCGTTTCACCACAAATCATCTATCTTATCGTATTTAGTTTGTATCCTTAAACATTTTAGACTGTACTACTTGCCACTTCCCGTGGTGCCAACTGTCGTCACGCTTGTGCTTCAGTATACAGCCTAGTCACTATGGCGACTGAGACGCCTGAGGATGCACTATCGTATGCCAGAGCTATGCTGGCCTGTGTGCCACGTGTATCATCGCCCGGCGCACAGCCTCATTCCTTGGCATGCGGGACTGCCCTCGGATCTTCTGTTATTGGAGGGAAAGAAAAAAAGATAAATTCAAACAGCCCTGCTGCTACTGATACTGCTGTGTCTTTAGCCCCTACGAATGCCCCTTTATCTTCTTTCTACTCAAGCTTATCGAACCAGCAGACTCAGCCGGTTTCTATGATTGACTCGGAGTTATCACATCGAGTTCAGGGCTTATGTATGGGTGCTGCATATATACTTGAATCGCTATTCACTCGACATGTTAGTGCTCGTATGGCCACTACCTTTTCAGTAAACTCTACTGGCTCGGATCACACTGGATCAGGTGCCACAACAACAACTGCGATTGCGTCATCCTCTGCTGGCGCTAATGTTTCACCTGCTGCTGTTTCCTCTTCTTCACTAGGAACTACTGGAAAACGAGGCAAAAAAAATAGAAATCGCGACCTGACGGTCAAAGATCAAACTATTTCTACGTCTAGTGCATCAAACTCAGCTTCAGCCAATGATGGGAAATACGAATCTGGACAACTGGGGTTGGCTGATGAGATTGGTGTAGATACGAAGGTCTTAAAGTCAGGAGAGAAAATACCCGATGTAATGCCGACTGCTGCTGCTGATGTATCAGTCACAAGGTTACAGCGAGATATCTTAGCAACCATTGATTGGGCAGTCAGTATCATTGGTAGGTTTGGTACAATTGTATATCTCAGTTTTTCAGATATTTTTCTGTGTGCACACGGATTCTTTCGCATTCTGGCCCATCTTAAAGGCTGAGTAATTGCATCAATCGATTACTTTCTGCATATTTACAATTGTCATGAGGCAATTGGAGTGATTTGTATCTAGCCTATACATTATTAATATTTTCTAATAGTCTTGACACTAACTTTATAGCGTGGATACGATTTTATTAAAATAATCACAGCCCTTTTTGTAGATTTGGTTTTCAGGCTTTCAAAGAGAGTATTTTCGAAGACGGCTATGAGCTTTTTATTTATAATTTAGTCACCCTAGTTCGCCTAAGCTGATCTAAGGACTTTTTGACTGGTTAAGTTTTCCTCAATGGTGTAAGTAGTTCTCAGTAAGCCATTGAATTTTACTTAATCTAGAATCTCGTATATCTGACGGCAGTTTTGTCCTATATGCTTCATCAGCACTAAAACATAAATCGAAACAGAGTTGTGAACAGTGTAACGACTTGTCTGTTATACTGCCAAGGGTGCAAGTGAGTCATTGGGAAGATGCTACCTTCTATGCCAATTATTGCAACCAACTACATTGCCTAAATTCGCGCAGAGTAGATTTTAAGATTGATAATATCTCATGGATAGTAACTATACGCGACTTGGGAGGTCTGCTAACTTATTGAAACCTGTGGTTGTATAGAGCATTTGCTCTATTTATGCTAAAACCTATTCATTTTCTCCTTTGTCCCTTTTATATCGTATTATTCTTGGTCTCTGTTTTCTTTTTGGCTGCATTATTCAAAATGTCCACTGTATTTTGTTATGTAATATTTTTCAGATAAATTCTTTTTTGTACATTTAAATTAAATTTATAGCTTTTTTTTATCTTCAGATGATTTTCTCGTCAAGCCGATTTCTCTCGTTGACTCGATTTCTTCGGAAGCGACCGGCTCAACCGGCAGCTCCAACAATACTGGATTAACGAGGAATAAAGCCAAGCCCAACTCGAGTTATTACTCGAGTGCAGCTATTGGACAG